CCATAGTTCAAAGGCCTCAATTCTTTTGCGCTCAGCCTTTCTTATGGTCCAACTTTCACAGCCATACATTGCAACTGGGAAAACCATGGCCTTGACTATGCGCACTTTTGTTGGCAAGGTGATGTCTCTGCTTTTTAGTATGCTGTCTAGATTTGCCATAGCTTTGCTCCCCAGGAGCAAGCGTCTTTTAATTTCTTGGCTGCAGTCCCCATCTGGTGATCTTGGAGCCCAGGAAGATAAAATCTGTCACTACTTCCATTTCTTCCCCATCTATTTGCCAGGAAGTGAGAGGGACGGATGCCATGATCTTGGTTTTCTTAATGTTGAGTTTCAAGCCAACTTTTGCACTCTTCTTCACCTGCATCAAGAGGCTCTTTAGTTCCTCTTCACTTTCTGCCATTAGAATGGTATCATCTGCATATCTTACGTTGTTGATATTTCTCCCGGCAATCTTAATTCCAACTTTTGATCCATCTAGCCCTGCCTTTCTCATGATGTGCTCTGCATATAAGTTAAATAGGCAGGGCGACAGAATACAGCCTTGCCGGACTCCTTTCCCAATTTTGAATCAATCAGTGGTTCCGTGTCCAGTTCTCATTGTTGCTTCTTGACCCGCATATAGGTTTCTCAAGAGACAAATAAGATGGTCTGGTACTCCCATCTCTTTAAAAACTTGCCACAATTTGTTTGATCCAAACAATCAAAGACTTTAGCATAGTCAATGAAGCAGAAGTAGATGTTTTTCTGGAACTCCCTAGCTTTCTCCATGATCCAGCGTATGTTGGCAATTTGATCTCTAGTTCCTTTGCCTCTTCGAAATCCTGCCTGTACTTCTGGAAGTTCTTGATCCACATACTGCTGGAGTCTAGCTTGTAAGATTTTAAGCATAACTTTATCTGCATGTGAAATGAGTGCAATGGTGCAATAGTTTGGACATTCTTTGGCATTGCCTTTCTTTGGAATTGGAATGTAAACTGACCTTTTCCAACACTGTTGAGTTTTCCAAATTTGCTGGCAAATTGAGTAGCTCAGCTGGAATACTGTCACCTCCACTAGCTTTGTTATTGCTCAGCTTTCCTAAGGCCCATTTCACTTCACATTCTAGGATGTCTGGCTCGAGATCAGTGACCACCCCATTGTGGTTATCAGGGACGCTTAGCTCGTTCTTGTATAGTTCTTCTGTGTAATTTTGACACCTCTTCTTAATCTCTTCTGCTTCTGTTAGGTCCCTGCCATTTTGGTCCTTTATCATGCCCATCTTTGCATGAAACGTTCCATTCATATCTCCAATTTTCTTGAAGAGATCTCTGGTTCTCCCTATTCTATTGTTTTCTTCTATTTCTTTGCACTGTTCATTTAAGAGGGCATTTTTATCTCTTCTAGCTATTCTCTGGAATTCTGCATTCAATTGGGTGTATCTTTCTCCCTTGCCTTTCATTTCCCTTCTTTCCTCACCTATTTGTAAAGCTTCCTCAGACAGCCATTTTGCTTTCTTACATTTCTTTTTCTTTGGGATGGTTTTAGTTGCTACCTCTTGTACAATGTTGCAAACCTCCGTCCATAGTTCTTCAGGCACTCTGTCTATCAGATCTAATTCCTTAAATCTATTTGTCACCTCTACTATATATTCATCAGGGATATGATTTAGTTCATACCTGAGTGGCCTAGTGTTTTTCCCTACTTTCTTCAATTTAAGCCTAAATTTTGCAACGAGAAGCTCATGATCTGAGCCACAGTCAGCTCCTGGTCTTGTTTTTACTGACTGTATAGAGTTTCTCCATCTTTGGCTGCAGAGCACATAGTCAGTCTGATTTCTGTGTCGACTGTCTGGTGATGTCTATGTGTAGAGCTGTCTCTTGGGTTGTTGGAAAAGAGTGTTTGCTATGACCATCATATTCTCTTGACAAAATTCTATCAGCCTGTGCCCTGCTTCATTTTGTACTCCAAGGCCAAACTTGCCTGTTATTCCAGTTATCTTTTGGCTTCCTACTTTAGCATTCCAATCCCCCATGATGATAAGGATATCATTTCTTGGTGTTGGTTCTATAGGTTGCTGGAATTTGCATCGTAAGTCATTGGGATTGTAAATTGAGTCACCACAATTATTAAGTGAACACATGTTGTAAATGCAGATCCAGTCTAACCAATGGGGTTTTTGCCAGACAATGTAAATGGGAACTGATTTCCAAATGCCAGAATTGCCACATGAGACCATGGGGAGCAGTGCGACCATTTGAGATAGTCGTGACTTTTTAAGCCAGGTTTAATTTTGAACCTTTATGATCATAAGTCAAGGAGAAAAGATGTATACTGAGAGTTGTTATTTGAACTTTCAGAACTTTCTTTTCTGGGCTGTAAGGAGGTTTATAAAAGATAAAGAACGAAGACACCCCTGACTCCAGCTTAGCCTTTTAAGAGCTGCATCCATGCCGGTTTCAGATTGCATTTTAGAAGTAGTTTTGTTTCTGCCTCTTCCCAGCTTTTTCAACTTTTTTGTCTAGGAAAGAGATAAAAGGGTTAGTGGTTCTTCTTCCCGTGACTAACCAATAGTAAACCTACTTATCTGAGAAAGACAGATAAGGGCATCTGGACTTGCCACCTGGTTAAATCCAATTTACCAAACCTAATAATATCAAATCTTTCAAGAGCTAGGAATACAATTAATTCATAACTAACAACTTTAATAATCTTTGCTGCCCTATACCACTTAGATGGAGAGGACCTTGTATGTAACTACTTCTTCAGAGATCAGAATGATTTTATGACATATGTTGAGTCCAGCTGGGGAAATGCCCACTTAAGAATTATAATTCTTTTTTAGGATTTGGAAATTAAAGAAGATCATGCAAATTCTATTGAGTTTGCAGCATCCAATCTGAGTCAGTCACCGGGACCTGAGATTTATTCCTACAAGCTTCAGGACTCGTACTGGAGCCCATCCTGAGGGAACTTTTCTCTCTCCTGAATGTGCACACTGGACTTAGCATAGAACAGTCTAGTGCACATATTCTGGAGAAAGAGATCTTCCAGCACAAGTTTGAGAGCTTGGAAGAATAAATTCTGGTCCCGATGACTGACTCAGATTGGATCCTGCAACATTATCTGGGACATATATATTTGCTGTTATTCTATTGAGTCTGATCACAAGGATTCTTCCTTGTTCAGGGTCCTGTGTCCTTTGAAGAGGTGGCCATTCATCTCACGAGTGAAGAGTGGTTGCTGCTGGATCCCAGCCAAAAAGCCCTGCACCAAGAAGTCCTGTTGGAAATGTCTAGGATCGTGACCTCTTTAGGTAAAGGTTCCTCTGGAGAAAAGTTTGAGGATTGAGGAGTTAATAAAGAGCTTATTTACAGTCTAGGACTGTGGTGGCGAACTTATGGCACGGGTGCCAGAGGTGGCACTCAGAGCCCTCTCTGTGGGCACGCGTGCTGTCGCCCCACTCCTAGGCCTTCAGCTGGGTTTTATAAAACCTTTTCGCTCTAGGCCTCCGCCGCCGTGTGCCCAAAAAAAAGGTTCAATCGGTCAATCAATTTCAACTTCTCGCGGGGAAAAAAAAAGATCTTGCAAAGTTGGAATTGATTGATTGAACTTTTTAGTCCCACCCAGTCTGCCGTTACCACCGCAGCCACGCCCACCCAATTGGCATGCCCAGCCAATGGACCACACCCACCCGGCACCCGATGATACATAGGTGGGTTTTGGGTTGCAGTTTGGGCACTCGGTCTCTAAAAGGTTTGCCATCACTGGCTTAGGAGATCTGTGCAGATCTTGTTGAAGTGATTTCTGATCTTTTCTTTTTTATCTTATATTAATTCCACTTCTCTTACATAGTGTTCTAAGTACTAGAATCAGTCTGATAACCAGTCAGTCTAGAAAGGATTGATATGCAGTCTTGGGATGTTGTTTGGGCCCTGTGTTAATATTGCAGAGGTGCTGGGAACATAATCAGGGATATTTTTGCTTATTTCACTTGTCCTAATCAATTAGAACAATTAATCAATGGAAATGTTTACCTCATGGAGTTGTGGGTGCTCCATCACTGGAGGTTTTCAAAAATAGACCGGACAACCATTTGACAGAGATGGTATAAGGCCTTCTGCCTTGAGCAGGGCTTTGAACTAAAACAGTGTCTTTCAACCTTTTCTTCACTACATACCCCCTTTAAATATATTTTGTGGCCACGGTCCCGGACCACCAAAAGTTAACTCAAGATTTAAAGCACTAGACTGTTCTTTTCCTTGCAGATGTCCATGAATAGATGCAGGCTAGGGACTGGCATAGGGATAGTGAACTATATGTTGTCAAGTTTTTGATTTCTTTTTCTTCCTCCTCAAGGAGTTGATGAGCAGAAGAATGAAAATTTCCCAGAGTGCAGTATAGCGCCATCACAAATTATCAAAATTGAAATACCAGAAGAGACATGCACAAATAAGTGGGAAAGGAGGAGATATGAGAAAAACCAATCTTGCAATTGGAGAGAAAGATCCGTTCTCCAATGTGCAGAAATAGATCACTTCCTGACCCAACGTAATTCTAAAGGAAGCAGCACAGGAAATTTTCATAGAAGGGGAAAAAGTTTCAAAGTAAAATGTAATTTTAGTAATAACTGCAAAATTGAAAAGAGCTTCAGTAGTAATAATATTTTACCCGGTAGAGTGAGCCATGCAACGGAGAAGCCATATAAATGTGTGAACTGTGGAAATAGCTTTAGATGGACTATTAATTTAACTACTGATAAAAAGATCCATCCAGTAGAAAAGCCCTATATGTGCATAGACTGTGGAAAAAGCTTCAATATGAAGAGTTGCCATATTCCTCATAAAATGATCCATAGGGGAAAGAAACCCTATCAATGCATAGAGTGTGGGAAGAACTTCACCACAAGCAGTAACCTTAGTTCCCATAGCACAATCCACACAAGGGATAAAAAATATGCATGCATGATGTGTGGAAAGAACTTCAAGTCAAGAAAACAACTTACTTCACATAAAAGGAGGATGCATGCCACAGAGAAACCCTATAAATGCCTGGACTGTGGAAAAAGGTTCAGTATGAAGAGTCTCCTTGATTCTCATAAAAAGGTCCATACTGTAGAAAAACCCTATCAATGCATAGAATGTGGGAAGAACTTCCACACAAGACATGATCTTACTTCACATAAAAGGGTTCACACAGGAGAGAAACCGTTTCAGTGTATAGAATGTGGAAAGGCTTTCAGTCACAACAGTGCCCTTACTTCTCATAAGAGGATCCACACAGGAGAGAAACCATTTCAGTGTATAGAATGTGGAAAGGCTTTCAGTCACAACAGTTCCCTTATTTATCATAAGAAGATTCACACAGGAGAGAAACCGTTTCAGTGTATAGAATGTGGAAAGACTTTCAGTCACAACAGTTCCCTTACTTCTCATAAGAGGATCCACACAGGAGAGAAACCGTTTCAGTGTATAGAATGTGGAAAGAACTTCAGCACAAGCAGTAGCCTTAGTTCCCATAAAAGTATCCACACAGGAGAGAAACCCCATCAATGCATAGAATGTGGGAAGAACTTCCGCACAAGGTGTGAACTTACTGCACATAAAAGGGTTCACACAGGAGAGAAACCATTTCAATGTATAGAATGTGGAAAGACTTTCAGTCGAAACTCTTCCCTTACTTATCATAAGAGGATCCACACAGGTGAGACCTCCTATCAATGCATGGAGTGTGGAAAGAATTTCAGGAAAAATAGTGACCTTATTTCCCATAAAAGGGTTCACATAGAGGAGCAACTAGAGGTAGTTCTTGAATTGCAACCATAATGGAGTCGGCCCATCATAGTTGGTGAGTTGCTCATGTATCAACCCGATTTTACAACTGTTTTTTGCAGTGATCATTAAACAAATCACTGTAGTCATTAAGTGAAGGATTAAGCAAATGCCAGTTTTTCAGTGAACAGAGTTCACTATGGGTGCAGTTTTGCGGAAAACTGGCATCTTGGGTTTTTAGCAAAGCCTTCATAAAATGTGGTAACATGACAATGAGACACTGCAAATGGCTGCAAATGCAACCTGGTTACCAAGCACCCAATGTGTAGTCATGTCAGTTTGGGAGCCCCTAAAAATTAGAATTTCAAATCCAAGTCATATGTCCCCACCAGGTAGGCCCACTGGAAATTTGAACAGTTGCCAAGCGCCAAGTTGTAAGTTGAGGACTTCCTATCTAGAAATATTCTCAATGTAAAAAGGGTAATGGCAAAACAGAACCCCTTATTTCTCATAACAGGAACCACAGAGTGGGGAAAATTATAAATGCATGGTGTGTGGAAAAAACTTCAGGTGGAGCAAACAACGCAATCCCCCAAAACAGCCTATTTGGTCTAGTGGTTAAGGCACCAGATTAGAAAACAGGAGTTTGTGAGTTCTAGTTCTATCCTAGGCATGAAAGCCAGCTGGGTGATCTTGTGCCATTCACTCTCAGCCGACTTTTCTGGGAAAATGAGGGAGAAGTATTAGGTGTGAGTGCGTGTGTTCACATACAAATAATGCCTTGTGCTATCTAAAATAATAAATTTGGGATGCAAATAAATCAAAATAAAAGGGAACACGGGGAGATGCCTTTTGGGACTGAAGTGTTCTTAATTCCTGTAAAAGGATCCACTGTGATATGAAACCATTAAAGGCATTGAACACAAAGAGAGTCTGCCTCATTTCCTATAATGTAATCTGTGGAAGACCTCGGGGGATGAGGGTAAGAGATGCAACTTAGGAATCAAACAGACTTAAAAAGGATTTGCCCTACTTGATCAAGCAATCAAGCAAAATTCTGTCAGGTCCCCAAAGAAATACATTGTTTCCCTATGCCTATTCCTGAATCTGTTTTCTGTAACCTTTCTTTTGGGCCTGCCATTCTGTTTTGCACTGTCTTGCTATTGTGCCCTTCCCCCAGGGAAAGGAATGTATCACCCTTATCTAAGAGACGGTTGTGCTTGGCGCAGAAGGAAACGAAAGTGAGAAAAATCTTGAATGAACAGGCCAAAGAAGCCAGTTACCAAAACACTATGCCATCTATGGATTGGCTGGAATTCAAATGAACACTGGGACCCTGGGGGGGGGTGGAGTATTGATTACCGTTTTTAATATACTGCTTTTGCGGATTTCTGAGACCTCACCTTGTTTTCCCTGCTATCACTAGCCCCTAATAAAAGTCCCTTTCGAGACAATGCTTGTTTCAAGAGTTCTGCTTCCTTGGTGGCTTAGCTGAGGTAGGTCCTTACATAACCCGAGAATTCGTTAATTGGATCACGTTAAACGAGCATGATCCCTCCTTTACCCAGTTCATTTGCTAATCGAACGCTTAGGTCATTAAGTGCACATAAGATCTCACAGTGGGGAAAATCATGGGGGACCTAGTGCTTCCAACCACCCAAGGCCATCGCCATCCCACTGAGATATTTCATGCTTCCCCTGCCCCACCGGGTCTGGGCCTGTGGAGACTCACCTTTTGAAGATCTCGATGATCAAGCAAGCTGTCTCCAGCCTCTCTGCTGCAGTTTCTTTGTCTGCGAGATCTCTCATCCAAAGCCTTCCATTTTTGCGAGGTTTTTGTGTGTCTATGAGGTTTTTTTGTGTTGCGAGGTTGTTTTTGTGTGTGTGTGTTGTAAGTATTGTTGTTGCTTGTTTTTGTCATGTCCTGTCGGGCAAATAACACCTATGGCCGGCACAATCTTCAAATCAGTTTAAAAAGCGAGTGGGCTATTATAACTGAGTTTCTCTGCTTGCACAATATACCAGTGGATGCAGCTAGGACTCCAAGCTCTCTATGGGTTACTATCCCAGCAGGAAGGAGGCAGAGAAAGCAAAGGAACAGGAAGCAAAAGCGAGGCTGCCCGCTGGTGTGCTAGTGAGGCTACATAAGCACCCAAACAAACCACCGCTTCCGATCATTTTTCTTGCCAACATAAGATCCCTCGCCAACAAAACGGATGAGTTGAGCATATTAAATACTACTATATAGTGTAACATTAAAGTGCAATATCGGGGGCAGCACAATGGTGAGTGGAATGTGAAGGATGTGTGTATATAATGTATGTTTTTATTTGTGGTTTTTGCTTGTATGTAGTGTACACTGGACAGCACTTAATTTCGTTGTGAGTTACACAATGACAAGATATTCCTATTCTATAAAAGCTTTTGGCATGGAGAAGAGAATCCTTTGGGGGTGCGGTCTCGCCCTTGTTCAGATTCACTGAGGCTGCCTGGCATTCCAAAAGCGGATCAGGTATCCTATGCAGGCAGCCTCAGTGAGTCAGCCAAGCTGAGCAGCTTGTCCTGCTTAGCCTCTGTTCTCACCGCCCTGCTTTTGGAACATCAAGAACAGGCAAAGAAACTGAGCTGCCATGGAAATCCCATGGCAGAGAGGCTGGAGAGGAGACAGCTCACTTGAAGAGAGAAGGAACAGTTCTGGAACTCTGGATCTTTCAAAGGTAAAGGAGCCTTTGGGGTGGGGAGGAGCCGGTGGGCTATTATAGCAGTGCTACTGCGTGTTAGGTCCCTGTGCGGGTGTGTGAATAGGCAGGGGGAATGTTTCAATGTCTCTACGGTAGGTCATAAGGGTGAATGACTACCATGGTGCTGCAACATTCGTAACTTCAGGACTGTGGTAAGTACTTTGGCGGGGTGTCTCGTAACTTTGAACTGTTGCTAACTGAACTTATAACCTCGATGTATGACCACAATTGAACGCAAAATTTCTGTTGCTAAGTGAGACAGTTGTTAAGTGAGTTTTGCTCTATTTCTTTCCATAGTTGTTAAGTGCATCACTGCAGTTGTTAAGTTAGTAACACAACTGTTAAGTGAATCTGGCTTCCCCATTGATTTTGTTTGTCAGAAGTTCGCAATTAGTGATTACATTATCCTGGGACTCTGCAAACATCATCAATGAGTCAGTTGCCAAGCATCCAAATTTTGATAGGCAAAAACATTGGCAAATTGCACTAGACTAGGCGATAACCAGCATTATTCCGTTCATCTAGCTCAAACTTGCCTATTATTCTTCTCTTTGGCCTATTTTGCATTGAAATTGCCCATAATATACAAAATATTTTTTATATATCTCTTTGGGAGTACAAGTCACTTGTTTGCTTTTGCAGAAAGCAACTTCTTTTTGTCTGGTGATATCGTTTCCAGAAAAATAAACCATAAACTTTTCTGATGATTATTGGGATTCTGCCTGTCCAGTGTAACTCATTGATGCCAAGAATGTGTATGTTCACTCTAATCATTTCTCTTTTTATAATTTCAAGTTTCCCAAGGGACATACTTCTAACATTCCATGTTTCAATTTGACATAACTTTGTACACTGTAGGCAACCTCCTTCATCATAGGCACCATCGATTGCTAGGCTTCCCAAAGGCTTTCCTCCAATAGCGTTATAAAAACCTTGACTACTAAAGGCTAGCTCTTGCTCTTCTCCAATAGCTTGCAGACTGTCGATCAACCTGGAGGATCCCACTATTGTTATCCATTTCTGAGTTATGTTGTTATTGCCATGAAGTGTTCTGGTGAGATTTTTTTTATAGGGTAGTTCACCATTGCATTCCCCAACCCTCTCCATTTATCCAGGCTTGGGTCTGGCATGTGGTTGATGAATCATCTGGTACTGCCTAGAGCAGCATGCAAAACGCCCTCCTTTTTGTCCTCTAACTTGAATAGATCAGACATTCATCTAGACTTAAAAGCAAATGTTCAGGAAAGCTAATGTGTAATCTCTTTGTTTCAGGTTTACATTTGTTCCAATTCTTTTCTCTTTGAATACAACAAGAAGAAAAAATCTAAGATGAATTAAGTTGCAAAGCCTGCTTGATTGCTTGGAGTAAGGTATTTTGGAAGACATTCTTGCCTTGAGTAAAGAAAAGCCAACTTCTATTCATTTTAAGGGCTAAAATTGAGGCTGTTTTTAGGAGCTTTGTGTCACCACAGTGCTAGGAAGCAGGACAGAAATTAACAGATAGTTTAACATTTGACTTTCCTTCTGTGCCCTCATCAGGCTTAGCTTAGTGACTACATAGAGATTTTGCCCAGGACACTCTGCCTAACTGGATCCTTTTCCAGCGATGCCCTATTGCCGCTAAGCCGAGTCCATCCACTTGAGTTCTCATCTTCTTCTTTCACAGAACCAGATTCTGTTTGATGCACTTTGGAAACATCTCTTTCTTCCATCCTGTTTGGAGTTGAAAAAGGGGGCCCCCAACCAGGGACAAGTATTCAGCCTCTTCTCTTTGTTGGGGCCCTGCTGGAAGACCACCAGGAGATCCTAAGGCACACGGATGCCACCGAAGGATTTCTGAAAGGAAGTGCAAGCCCCATAGATCCCTTTCCCAGGGGACAATCTTGTCAGGACCCAGGAGGTTGCCAGGGGCTCCACACCTTTGTCTTGGCTTTTGGCCTCAAGTCCAAGCTTCTTGTGTGTGTGTGTGTGTGTGTGTGTGTGTGTGTGTGTGTGTGTGTGTGTGTATGAGATATCGTAATAGAGCTGGAAGGGACCTTGGAGGTCTTCTAGTCCAGCCCCGTTCAAGCAGGAGATACTATACTATACTATCCTGTGTGTGCATGTGTGTGTGAGAGAAATCAGAATAGAGCTGGAAGAGACTTTGGAGGTCTTCTAGTCCAGGCCCCTACTCAAGCAGATACTATACTATACTATCCTGTGTTCGTGTTTGAGAAACCAGAATAGAGCTGGAAGGGACCTTGGAAGTCTTCTAGTCCAACTCCCTGCTCA